CCTGGCGGTCGCTCTGCTAACAGGCAACGGCGCAACGATGGAAAATGATCGAGGGTGAACGGCTCTAACCGACGTCCCAATTTCCCAGACAGTACCCTGTCCCGCCAGCTGGCACCCTTCGGGACATCAGGCTTTTCCCTCGTGACCCAGCAGCCAGCTCTTCCTCGTCTCGGCCTCCCTGCAGCCACCGATCCTTCCCATATACCACGTCCGAAGGTTATGGTTCGGCATAAATCTACTTATAACGGCCGGCAACTATTCGTCGACGCTGGACTATTTCACGAGCTCCTCCGTGACATAAACGCGAGACGTAAATCGTAACCTCCACGATGGACAGGGGTTGGTTACTACTCGGCTACGCTCTATCTGCAAACATATCTCTCCACCCCAGCCGAATCCTCGTGCTCTTCGTTTTCCTTCGCCGATTTTTCCACCGATCGATCTCGCTACGCGCGATTCGCGATACTCTCGACTACCATTACTAATTACCATGGGGGGTGGGGGTCCGCGTGTTATGAATTCCTGGCTAGAGATTCCTCTCTTTAACCGCAAATTTCCAGCGGTTCAACCCCGGGACAGCTGTCGACCCGGGAAACTTCGCGCTAATTACTTGGACTACGATTAACCCCGTGATCGCCATATATCACGGAGAGAAGGGTGGTCCGTTGAAAGACACCGGATTAACGAATCGATCCTTACTGCTCCCGTCGTTTATCAAATCGAGGAATGATTCGCTCCTCGGCTTCATTTGTTTCTCGGGATCCCTCGAACTTCCCGATCGTGCCCGCTCGCGCGGTTAAGTCCGCGGAAGCAACCCTCGTCGCTGACGTTATCGGAAGGAACGTCACGTCGGGGGGGTGCGAACAAATCGTATCTCGCCGCGATGACTGCTGGCAGACTCGGTGATAGAGGCGTTACATTTACACGCGACGATTTGTAACCGAACGTATCACCGGAGAAGATGAATAACGCGGGTTCGTGGCAGAAGAGGAAGACTAAGGTTGAGAGGGGCTTCTGGTAACTTTGCTCGAGCCCTGTTGGTATGCCGAGAGAGGGTAGAGGATACGTATGCGCCTCGGTGGATACAACCGCCATACGACCGAGCAAGTAACCCAGTTTCGCTCGCGGGAAGCTATCCACTACTGGGGTAGAGGGTGCGGGGCTACGCAGAAAGGGGTGTGGAAGAGGGAGGCAGCTAGCCCCGCGTGGCTGCTAGAGAGTGTTTCGAAATAAAGTACGGTACATTATAGCCGGAGTCGTTCTACACACATTCAGAGACACGAATAGCGAGGGTAGGCGCGCATGCGTCGCCGTACACGCTCGAATAATTTCAAAGAGAAACAGACAGACAGGCCGAGAAATGGGGAGGAGCGCGGCGGAAGGGAAACGGGACAGAAGGTGATAAAAAAGGTGATGGAAGGAGGAAGATAGAGCTGGCAGAAGGGGGTGAGGGGGTGGAAGGAAAGAACACAGAAAGCGCAAAGAAAGGGAGAATTGAACGCGAGAAAGAGAGAGAGAGAGAGAGAGAGAGGGAGAGAGAGAAGCCTCGTGCCCCCGTCCATTTAAAGTGTTATCTTTGAAATTGCGTACCGCGGGAGCGTTATTAAATTAAGTAAACCGCAAAAAAGTTTCTTTCGCGCTACCGGCCGTATACACACGGTGGTACGTACGCTCCTGGTGTAGTTACAGACTGAGCCTCACTCCCGGCATATATGGGAATTAATACCGGAGGAAAACCGCCACCCTGCGCCTCTTTCATCCCTACCTATTCCCGGCTGCACACATCCAGCCGCCATCGACTTTCTGAAACTCGCTTCCTGGTCCCGCTTCCTGTTCCCGTTTCTAGACGACCACCGCGTATAAAAAGGTACTTTTAATTTTGCTATCGTAATACACGAAGCTGCGCCACAGCCTCTGACCGAGCACCGCCAGAACCCGTGGTTAAGACTGCCGCTGGACCAACGACGATTCGCGGTGCACTCGACTCGAAATACAAACGGTCCTTCGGATATTTTTTGAAAATTTTTTCCCCAACGGAGACCGGACAGCGGTCCTTTTAAAAACGAATATTTTCCGCCGCTCTGCGTGTTGGTTCACCGGTACCGACCTCGATGATAATAAAAAAATTCCACGAGTCCGATGATCGTGATCGACGGACCATTAATTTCTGCATGGCTCGAATGACCAACCGGCTAACCCGTCCCGATCATTCCAATGATAAAATCTCGAATCTTGTTAATAAAGATCGAAGCGGTACTTCGTCTTCTACCCTCGCGCGACGCCATGCCACCCTCGATTCGCTAATTATCTACCCGGGGAAAAAGTGCCGGTGAATTTACGCCGAGCTGCTGCTGCTGCTCAAAAACAAAAGTCACCCTTTTCGCGAGGGGCGACGGGAAGAAAAAGCAAACGACTTTCGAGAAACTTCGCGAGCAATTTTCCCCTAATAAAGGACGTCCTTAAAGCGATTGACTCTCGCAAAGAGTCCGCTTTGATACTCGCCTCTCTAACTTTTTATTCGCCGAAAGTTTGACACTTTCGGTAACTCGTAGCCGGCAGGCTGCGAGAGAGTGGAAAAGGGTTTCGCTGTCCACCACCGGAAGAAAAAGGAACGAGAGGAACAGCGTGCTGGCGTTATCAGGGACGCGAAAACAATGGGTGCCACCGGAGGAGATCGATCGTCGAACACCTTACGATTTCTTCCACCGTTTGCACCGCGAGAAACGACTCAACGATCCCTTTAATCCGCGCGATTGCGATCGGAGGATTTAAATGAAATCGCGTGTGTCGTAATTACCTGCACGCGAACGATCTTTGTTACCCGGCGAACTATCCTTAAATCCGAGCAGCCTAGCTCGGTAAATCTCAATTATCGGAGATCAAACGTTAGACACGCGCAAACAATCGGTCCTCCGAGCGGTGATTTTTGCGATAGAAACGTAACGAGCACCTGTAATTTACCGTTTCTTTTTTCACCAGGCGTCAGTAGCGCGTATAAATATTCCAGCACGCGCTTGTAACGTACTCGTCGCGGAAGTGTTATCGAGCCAGGGTGTACATCGCGCTATCGCGAGTTTACGCTCAACCGAGAAATCGTGTTCCCATAAAACCTGTTATCCAGGAAAATCAGATTTTAACAACTGCTCTGTCGGTTGTACGACACACGGGCAACGTTTCCATTTTTTTTTTTTCTCTCTCCCTTTTGGTTACATTTAACCCCGATTCGCTGCCGGTCGAAAATATTAATTAGCTCGGTCCCATCCCACGGTCGAATTATTTCGTTTATTTTAACTCCGCCGGGCACAGCTCTCGAATACCATCTCGTTATTTTAACGAAACTTCGGATTAATTTCGGTGGGAAATTGCGGACCACGATACTCTCCCTCTCGCGCGACGCTTAGATAAAGCCTCGGACGACGGGCACATAGAGCCCGTTTCGTCATCGAAATCGTGAGCTATAGGTGACAGCGTTGCTTTACGCCAGGGTGGTGTCACGGTCACAGAGGGGCGGCAGAGGGTCGTTGTATGCTTTTCCATCGCGATGGAATCGCCGATTCGGGGCGAATTTATTCAACGACGGCGTGTAAAAGAGCAACTCGCGCCGATAAACACGCATGATTACGATAAATCTCAATGGAAAGCCAATTACGTGTTCGAAGCGAGCCGAAGTTACCGGCGAGCGTTAATGGGTTCAAGTGAATGGTACGGTAAATTGCACTATCTCCAGTGCTGTTTCAGGTTTGTCCAACGGTAAATCTACCGCGAAGTATATTTAGTGCGTGGTCCTCGTAAATTCGCGAGGGTGCCGCTCGAACGGAGCGAAAAGAAAAAGAAAGGCGGCGTCGGGAAAGGGAACCGGGGAAAAGGGAGAAAAGGGGAGAAAAGGGGAGAAAAGGGGAGAAAAGAGGGAAAACGGGACGGAAAGAAAGTCGCGGCGCGGCAAGATTATCGCGGATAGCCGTCGTAAAGATCGCGGGGGTCGTTGGCAAAGTTTGTTGTAAAATCTTATTCCGCCACCGTCCGTTCCCGCGGATAAATAATGCGAACAAGTCGCTTTCGCGGGTATTTATCGCGTAAACGGCCCCCGGCATGTGTCCCCTGTCACTTTTTTAATACGCTTTAAACGCGTACACCGACGCGCGACAAACTCTCGGCAGACAGCCCTCTCGCGAGTCGGAGCAAACGTCTTCGTCGCGATTTCTTCCCCTTCCGCCCCGTTATCCCCCCGATTCTCCCCCCGATTCGACCAGGTCCGACGATTCTGGAAGATCTCGCGACGCGTTTTCATCTCCGCGCGTGATCTCGCGGAATGGAACTGGCGCGCGTTCGGACGCTGGAAACTTGTCGGCGACGAAAATATGCTTTATCGAGAGCTTCGAGACCGGCGCAGACCACGGCAGAGGTGCTCCCCATGATTTCCCATAGGATCGTATCAATGGGACAATCTACGATTCTCGAACCTACCGTTCTCTCGCGTGTGCCGTTTCTCCGTGGAATCCCTTCGCTGATGGAATTCTTCTCCCCGGCGGCGCAAAGACGTTGCCGGGAAAATTCGTGGGTAATCGCGAAGGGAAATCTTTGTTTTCCCCGGATGGAGTAGCGCGTGGAAGAAAAGAAGCGTAATTACGACGGAACACGCGTAAAATCGTTTAGCAGCCGAGCGGACAGTTTCGGATTCTGCGCCGATGACCCTCCGCTTCTGGCTTGCGAACACGCGAGTGCCGCAAACGACACGTCTACCAGCGTTCGTACGTCTCGTCGCGGTTAGTTAACCGTGCTATAAATACGACCACGACGGCATAACATTATTTTTCCAAAGAAACGTCTTGGACACATCGCGCTGTCTCTGCCTCGGAGATCCTCTCCTCTCCTTCGTTGCTCCCTCCTGGTTCGCGCCGGCGAGATTCAGCGCGCGGAACCGCGGAAACTTTTGCTCGCGACACTCGCGTCCCCGTGCACGTTCGAGAGATAACTCTGTTCTGCTTTTTGATTGATTACAGATGCGCGGAAGGCTTCACGGGTCTGCGGTGCGAGACGAAGGACGTCATCAGCACCGGAAGTGTGTACAACCGGCGTAGGGCGCCGTTTTCCTGCAAGCTGGGACTCTCGACCTCGTACTACTGCTAGCGATAATCGCGCGGGGCCCTTCCATTCTGAGTAGACCCTTTTCTATCGTTGAACTCGGTGTACTCGGTATAGTCGGTCGAAACAGCCTCTCGAGCCCACGAGAAGAATGTCGTGAGAGGGCCAACGCGCGACCAAATAACATACGAGAAGGCGATTTACGATAACACACGATCGATCTCGGGATCGAGCGAGAATACCTGCGAACGGAAACGCAGCGTAATACACGACGAGAACTTTGAGCGGGGGAATAAAAAGAAAAGATCGAAACAGGGAAAAAAAGGAAAAGAGAAACACGGGAGCGAATCTATGTGCGGATTTTTCGGAAACCGTTGTTGTCGGGCATTAGAACGAGTCCTCTGTATTGTAGGAACAGGTTCCAAAATGAATTTTTGGCACCGGGCATTCGTACCTTCTTCTTTCTCTTCTTCTGTTTCTACATCACGCCTCGACGAGTTTCTTCTATTTTGCTCTATTTCCTCCCTCGATTCTTCCTCTTCTACTTCTACTAGCGTCGTTACTATTGTTACTTCTCTATTAGAAAATGTCGCGTCACGACACGTGCCTCGCGTCTCTATAGAAATTTTATTCGCGAGAAGAAGAAACAGTGAACCGGGGAGAGCATGTGCGTCCGTGTGTTTGCGTGTGCCTGTGTATGCGTGTGCGCTCGCGCGGCCGCGTGTGTGCAAGGAAAACGGAGAGACAGAGGTGAACGTACGAGGGTGTGCAAGGG